AAACCTCCCGGATTCTATCCGGATTTTAACCCAAAGTTTTTAACCCATTTCTCGAGGATACGGAATTTGGTATACTTAATTCCATACTTATTACAGCTTTCCATGTAAAAAATCTTTTCAGACGAAAAAGAAGCAAATCCACATAATACCCATCTTGCAATTGCGATTCTCTCTACTAAATAAACACATCACGATTCGATTTTTATGAAGATCGATCAAAGTGCATGCGATCTAACGACTTTTTGTATCGATTTATTTCGATATTATACGATTTGAACAAAACTCGATTTACAACAAATATTTACGTGTAAATAGTTTTTGCCCTCGATTTTGGGCATTAATGGGATTCAAGTCCGTTTAAACGAAGCGTCGGTTTTAACCCGGGCGGTTTCCTAACCAACTCTGATCACGCCTTAAAAAAAATAAAAAAATAAAATAGGCTTTATTTGACATGCATAAATGTCAAACAAAACAATAAAAAATAATAAAAATAAATTCAATTAAAATAAAAAAGAAGCATACAAAATAACAAAAAAATAAATAAAAATAAAATAAAAGCATGTGAAAAGTCCATGACTCAGCCTCTGAGGACTATGCTGATTACATAGCCCTCGCTGTTATTCTGTCATGGCCCCTCATAATATGGAACACCACAATTCAAATAATAATATAAATGTTACTTGTTACGTACAAAACAAAAGTCAAAATTAAAATAACTGTAGACATTTAGGCACTAAGCGACAAAAATTTTACATAAGCAACAATTGGACTAAGTAAGTAATCAATTTTAATAAAAAATATGGAATTTAAAAAGCATAATACCAAACATACACATCAAATAATAAGTAGACAATTAGGCGCTAAGTGAATAAAATTAGACACAAGCAACAATTAGATAAATAAAATTAGACACAAGCAACAATTAGACAAAGAAAAAAAATCTATTTGAGTAATAAATAAGTTATTTAAATAGTTAACACCAAACGTACACAAATACACAGAACAGATATAGAAACATAAGCGACTTCTTAAAGCCTGCGTCGTAAACTCTTTACTGACATATCTACAGTTTGATGGTAAAACCAATCATGAATGTGGAATTTAGTAGTGAGTACTTTGTAAAAAACTTAATTATTGTACCGAGCGTTTTTACATTATTTGAGATTATAGAGATTACAGCGTGCTAATGATTATTAATAACATGTTAATAATCGGTTATACCAAATGGAGGAGCAATGTATGTCGAGCCCCCACATAAAGGGGTTGGTGGTGTGGCCTGATACAGACCTCCCAAAACATTTATTATCTTTTAAAGAGCTTACTATAAATTTTCATTTTAGGATCTTGGGACTACTGCTGTGCGCCGACGCATCGTTGTGGATACAGCGAAGGTTTTCATAAACCATGGTATGATTGAAGCTTTAATGGCTTTGGAATTATTCAAATATTTATTTAATTTAATACCAATGAAGGTATAATCACACGACCCAATCAATCAACCAATCAGGCATCTTCTATCTTCTAGATAAGGGTTTCTTAACCTTAGTCCGTGGACGCCTAAGGGGTCCTTGTAATAAACGCCGGGGGTCGTTGACGACCTCCGTAGTCGAGTGGCTTGCACACCGACCTTCATGGTGTAAGCATCTCAGAGGTCCCGGGTTCGATCCCCGGCTGGGTTAATGTACAAACTAAATACTATAAGGGAGTAGGCAGAAGCTGAAAAATATGACTGCATGGTACCATCGTCGTTTCGACTTCTTTGATATGTATATATATTTTTTAAACGTTATTCTGAGACAATAAATTATTTTATTTTAAAATTTTCTGTATTGTTTCGGGTCTGAGTTTGTTTTGTGTTGTCGTCGTGGTTTCCGATTGTCATAACACAAGTGCTTTAGTTACATACTTTGGGGTCGGAGCAAGGATGTTGTCTAATATTTATTATTGTTATTTATTATTACACAAAGCCTACCTAACATATAATTCAGTAATATGTAATTGATATACAATATGTTATGAGATTATAATGCGCGTGACCTGTTAGAATTTTCGCGCCCTTTGACTGCTACCCACTATTGGAGCGAGGGATACGCGCGTCAACGCAATCGGCGAGTCTTTCTTATTCTCAATCTTTACGGAAAGGGCCCATAAGCTCTTTGAAAGATGCCCATGACTAGAAAAAGGTTAAATAACCCTGTTCTAGATCAAGTGGTTGGTGTGGTTTATATATATGCGTATACGTGATTTTTTTTTAAATTACGATAATATCAAGATTAGGTTTCATTTCACAGGTGCTACGTAGGTCCAAATGAGGACCAATGGCGTCCATGCAGTGATAAGTATTATCCATACCATCAGCACAATGTTCCACATCCTTCACAACAAGGACATAGAGGCAAGTATTCTACCAATTTTACTAACTTTGTGTCGATGCGACCTCCTCCATCGTCATCCCACCTTTTTATCACCTTTTCTCTAGTTCCTAGTGGCCCCCGTATTTTAAAATTTTGAATCGTTCTTTAATTTCTTTGCCTTACCATTCTCATTTTGTTTCGTTGTATCGTCACTCTCCACTTAATGTCTGAAGCGAGCACGTCTTCACCACTAATTTGGATCCGTTTCTACCAGTTTCCATTTTAAATCATGTGCCTATTTACTGCCTCCGTGGCCGAACGGTTACCATGCCGGACTGCCACGCAGAGGTCCCTGGTTCGATTCCCGGGCCGGGAGAAATATTTGGCCTACAATTATTTCTCTCGTGAGTTTGGGTGTAATTTGTGGTTGTCTATGTGTGTGTCCATGGCACCCGCGACACAGGGTTTCCCTAGTGCGGGGCTATGTTGAGTGTGTGCGTTATTAATACCATTAAAATCCAGTAATATTTTGCACATGTATTATATATAACTAACATAGTATTATCTCAAAATTGCTTTAGGTTATATAAATATTACCTATTTAATGTCAAAGCGACAGTGTTGTCCTGTCACTTTGAAATTAAATCGTATACGACTGACATACAAATATAGCGAAATTTTGAAGATAAATTATTAATATAACGCAATTTTGAGATAAAATATAATATAATATAACGCAATTTTTGAGATAGTACTTTGTTAGTTGTCAAGTACGATTTGTAAATCTTTTTTCGCCTTTTGCTTTATACAATAAATTCATGTGGACCTAGTAATCTATATTATTGCTCCCTATTGGCGCTTTACAATCTTTTCACCCTTGCTTAATTATTACGTTGTCGCGCCCTTTTCAGGTGAGAGGTTTGAAAAGTTTGCTAACGAAATTAGTCGAAACTTTCTTATATAAACTAATATTAATAATATTAGGTAAACATGAGTCGACATATTAGTATTAGGTAAACATTTTATATTATATATATTATATATATATATTATTACCTAATAGTATTAGGTAAACATGAGTCGACACAACCTGAAATGGCTTTAGTTGATTAACAGTGTAAGTGATGTCAATCACTTTAATACAAATATATATTAATAATATAAATATTTTAGTAGGGTTCGTCCATGGAAGTATAGCCACCTTACCTGTTTCTGCCGCCAAGCAGTAAGTAATGTCAGCATGTGTGTGTGTTCCGACTTTGAAGGGTAAGGGTATATGTGAAATTACAGGCATAGGGACTTGTCAACTTTTGTCTCAGGGTGACGGGTGCAGTGGCAGTGCCCCTCAGATCTTTACGATTTAAAACTCTGAGTGGCACTGCAACTGTTAGTGGAACGCAGTAATGCTCATATCGATACATCCAATCAACACTACGCCAACTAAATTATTCGACATGTTCTGTTTTTATTTTGTTTCTTTGTTTATTTTTTCACAAAATTCGTTTTTTTGGCTTTTTTATCATATTTTTTTTTTGTACCTGTGTTTTTTCTTCACAAAATACGGGGAGCATAATATTAGTACATAAATATGGCTGTTTACAAAAATAACAGGAAATGACCAAAAAATAAAGTTGGCGTAGTGTTCATTGGAGGTATCGATATTACTACTTGGTGGCAGAAATAGTACCTCCCTGGACGAACTCTTTCACAACGACCTCTACTGCTACTAAACACTTTTTTAAACTTATGACAATGAACAATGCCGCCATTTTGTCGTGTCTTAGATTGAGTCGCTTGTATGTAATATAGAGTCGCTTCATTTCTCAAACTCAAATGTTTCGTCTCCGTAATGCGTTTCTTATATTATTGTGTGTTGTTATTAAAGTTTTTGGTTATTGTTAATATGTTGAAATAGATAATTAAAATTGTAGAAAATGATAACCGCTTTGAACCGCGCTAAAAATTTTTGAGGAAAATTAGTGGACTAAAGTTGAGTGATAGAGTGAAGCGTACAATAATACGTGAAAGATGTGGCTTGAAAGAGAACGTGGTGACTAGAATAGAGAAAGGAATATTGAGGTGGTTCGGAGCTGATGGATGTAAAAAGACTTACCAAACTGATTTATGATGCGAATGTAGATGGAAGCGTTTTAAGAGAACGTCTCAGAAGGACTTACATTGACCAGATCAGTGATATCCTCTAAAAGGCTGGGATCGGAAGTGACAAGAATAAAAGAAGTTGTATGAAAAGGGTAGTTGATGTATGTGAGGTTCGAGAGATGTATCAGGATAGAGCAAAGTGGCGTTCCGTGCTTTCTGCCCGACCCTCCAGTGGTACAAGGGCGTGAGCTTATGTATGTATGTACGAGATTGACAAATAAAAAATGCTTAGGTTACTTATACGTGTAACAGAGAACACCTAATCAAGATTTAGTCGAGCCCTATGTTTTGGAATGTCAGTGGCGTGACTAAAGATGTCTTCTTCAGATGATAGACCTCTCACGCGGCCGTATCCAGTACGTCCGTACGACCGACCTCGTGATGGTTACCTGCCCGAGGCCGACCGCAGATACTGGGACGATCTATACGCTAACGGGCCGAGGGCTTATTATGACAAATATGGAAACCCTCTACCAGGTGAGACTTAAAAATGTACAACGTCAATTTAATATATAATGTACAAATATTCTTATACACAGCATGTTTATATAATATAAACATGCTGTACGGAAATTCTAACCGGCCAATCACTACCAACCCAAAGCTAGTTTTTCATCATGATTTTCACAACATATATTTCTTCATTTATTTCTATAATCAGCAAACTAAAATTAACAGCGCGTACGGCAAAAGGCTCAGTAGCTCCTCGGTGGGAATTGAAGCCAGAAGCTCTTGCGCTGGGGGTTAACGTTCTCCAAATTGAATGATCGCTACTTGCTAACCAGCTGATCAAAGTATAAAAGGCATTGGGGTATTAGATGAAGCGATTCGATTCAATGCGGCGCTAATTTTGAAAACAATGTTTCCGAAATTGTTTCTGGACTGGACGTTCTGGATAGTGCTTTACAATAAATTATAAGTAAGAAACCGTTGGATAGAAAGAAAAATCATAAAGGAATTGTTAAGAACAGTATAGGAAAAGAAAAGCTTATTAAAGACAATAGAGAACCGAAGGGGAAAAGTAAACATATGAATAACAGGTATCCGATACATCACAACAGTTTTCTTAGAAGCAACATAGAAGAGAATTTGAAGGAAAAAGAAGCAGAGGAAGACCGAAACGAAGTTATTTAGATTAGATAAGGGAAAAAGTTAATGTCGTGTCATATCGAACGGAAATCAAAGTTAGGGCGCTGAACAAAGATGGTTGGCGATTACCCGGTGGCGGAGAGTGTGGTATTCACAATAAAGGAAATTCCCTAGTTTTCAACAATGTGATTTGTGTAGTTGACCGGCACTTTATTATTACATGATTTATCCGCCTGAATGTCCTTAACGCGATTGAAACATACATTTTAGTGAAATCGATACTCTAACTTGGTGTGCTTTAGATTTTTTTTTTGTTTTATTGACCAAAATACAGGAAAAATAGTTATTTACTATTTACAAGCTTGGCTCACAAAAGCCCTTCCGGCTTTATCCGTGGCGAAGGAGTTCAGTCTATTTAAGTAAAGATAATATATAATAGGGCAAAAATCTTAAAAAACTAACTTAATTACTTCTAGACAGGTACAAAAACATGCTCACTTACATGTGCATATAAATGGCATATAATAGCAATTAAGCAATTTACTAATAAAGTTTATATCTTCAGTTTTCAAAAAATGTTTCTTAATGTATGATTTATAGTGTTTGTTTGTTTGTTTGTTCTTTTGATAATTACATATAAATTCCTCACTCATTTTGTTCATTAATGCAGGTAACGAATATTTCATAAAAAGCATATCAGACATCTTATGGTTTCCTTGGGCCTGAGACATTTAATTTTTGCAAATTAAACAAAATATATAATTTTTGTGACTAATAAAGTGATAAAGCTAGCCAATCAGGGGTCTTTATTTTAAACAGACTTGTCCGTGAATGTATTATTTGTGGATGAAACCCGATATGGTCCTATTGTGGTCCAATAGACATCTTTAAGGTGGATCTGATTTTTTCTGGTCTTGGTGCATCCAAAATATTTTCCTAATAAAATAAAGAACTTTCCCATTCAGGTTACTCCCGAGTGCCAATGGAAGACCGACCTTACATCAAATACCATCGGAACTACCCACGACCAGGATCAGGTCAGTGGGTACCAGTGCATTCTCCTCATCAACCTGGTTTGGAACCGCCTGTGCCAGGTGGACTTGGGATACCGAGGTAAGAGGTTTCAGCCCTGGTTCAGTGACTTAACGAGATCTTATCTCATAGACCGAAAACTTTTCTATTTTTTGTTTACTCAGAGAGCGCCAAGGTTTCTTGAAAACGCAGTTATGGTAAATTTAATTTTGATAATATTTTGTCTCGGTTTTGCCAACTGGTAGCTTTTGACAGTTAGACGATTCTTTAAGTACGCTGTAGCTCCACAACCACAGCAAACGAGCACGATACAATAAAAAATAATATCTTTTTTCCTTCAAAGGTATTGGCCGGTAGCCTACCTACATAAAGGTCCACCTCCAAACATAACTTACTTCCGTTACAACGATACCGACGGCCCCACCACTGAGAGAAAACCTGACGTACCAACAGTACCACCTGCTGCTCCATTACCACCTAGAGAAGGTCCACCACCAGATTTTAGTACCGATAAACCAGGCAGACAAAATAATAACAACAACATTGATAAACATAGAGCTGAAAAAACTAGAAATATCACAAATATCAACGACAGTATTTTTAGTATAAACTTAGATAAGGTTGACAATGCTACTACTACTTCGAAAATTGATGTTAAGGAGATTACTGAGCGTATAGATGACAAAAAACAAGAATTAGATGAAAAGAAAGATGATACGCCCGAAGTAGAAACCAAAACTGAGAATATTAAACAGAAAGATGATCCAAAAGGTATAGATTCAAAGTTAGGAGATTTTACGTCGTCTATAGAAGTATTAGACATTGAAGATGCTAAAACGGGAGAAAAGAATGCAGATTTAAAAACTCTTGAAGCTGAAGAGAGGCAGATCGAAGCTATAGGCAGACTGTTAGCCTCAAAACGCGGTCAAAAACTTATAATTGAAAAACGGTCACAAAAAGAGTTAGAATCGAAAAGTATTGCTCTAGACAAGGACCTAGTAGACTTTAATTTTGGTAATAAATTTCCGACTGCAGAAAGACGAGGTACTGTACAAAAAGTGACTAAAGACGAAATCGAAAGAGACAGACATATAGACAGGAGCTTGGAAGTAAGTGAGACAACGTTTGTTAGACCTCCTAGGGTTCTGAGCACTACGGAAAATGTACGAAAAGCTATTGTTAATGGCAAAGTGTTTTATAGCGCTTCTGTACGAGATCCAAAAGAATTTTTTTCTAGTACTAACTCTACTAGAAAGTATAAAAGTCTCAGGCCGTTGGAGGAGAGGGCTCCTTCAGTGATAACTAATAACAATTATGGAAAGAAAAAGGTAATAAGAGCAAGAAACGTGACTCCAGTGAATCCTGTGAGAAAAGTTAGAAGAGTTTATAGACGAAAATACAACCCTGAAGAGGTTAGACGGCGGCTGTTGGAAAGAGAGAGAAGTTTAAAAGAGAAAGATGCAAGTAGTAAGGTTTAAGAGATATCTAAGTTTAATTTTGCGAAAGATTCTGTCACAATGCACTGGTATCTTAAAAAAAGGTTGTGAGTGCAACAAACTAAATATTAGGGCTTTCAGTTTTGCTGCTTTTCAGACTAAAGGAGATTTTATTTAAAAACGAGATTCCAGACTATTTCATCGATATCAAAAGTTTGTGGAAATACATCTATTTGCCAAGTTTTATTGGAATGGGTTAAAGTGGATGAAATCTAAGAACACATATTGTTCCCCTAATTTGCTACCCTTAAAGGTGGAATATTTTTTTCAAATTTGGATGCCACCACTACTGAGGTACCTAGTACCTTAAGACTTTATACAAACTCAAATGGCTTTGGTTGATTCCACAGTGGAAGTGTTGAATTGAGTATATACACTGATTGAAAATTTCACGATAGAAAAAAACATAAACTTACTTCGAAATTTTACAAGAAAACCGCTTTAGATTCAATAGGTACTTTGCATATGCTAACGATTTTTATAAATGAACTGAACTAAATAAAGCACGTGTACGATAAATTTTTTTTCAAATTCGAGCTGAGGTAATATAGACTCTTAAAGGCGGTCCTTTACAACAAAAAAATAATCATCGAAATCTCCAATGTCTAAGTAATCGCGTATCGTTCACACAAAAAAAAATGTAGCCGAATTGAGAACCTTCTCCTTTTTTTGAAGTCGGATAAAAATCAATAATGGTTTGTGAGTTTTGTTTTTCATTTCTGTATTTGGGACAAACAGATTACTTGACAAACTTATGTCACGATCGCAGACGACCAAATTTGACAAATACGTAAAATTTTGCAAATGTTTTAATAGTTTACAGTTTAATTGAAACGTGGAAAATAAAATTGGTTAAAAATATATCTGATTTCACCAAAACGTGTGATAGCATACTGATTCCCCTGAACTTAAATTAAAACCGAAAACTACATGTCTTCTTGCAATACATTCATTACAAACTACTTTTAATAATTATAATATCTTTACAAATACATAATAAAAATGTAATTTAAATTATATTATTCTCATCTAGAATTAAGAGGAATTTTAAATTATGTTTCGTAAAAGTTTTGTTTGAGGGATCGGTGCATTCTTCGAAATTGTCAATCTGACCCAAAAATGCCTTATATTTGGAAAAAAATGGGAGCACAATATTTGCTTTAGATGTCCTCTTTTTGGCTTCGTTATTGACATCATAAATTAATGAGTAAGATGACATCCAGAAGCGAATTTATAGCCAAATTGGGGGCAATTGATTTTGACGCCATTTTGAATCCGCCATCTTGAAAAATTATATCAATTTGATCTTGATATCGTCTATGAAAATACTTTAATTAAAAAGACAAATTATGAGAACAAGTTAAAGTGTTATTTGGGTTGGAATGACGATGCATGCTTGAAGTAATTTTTAGGTAGTTAGTAATACTTTAAACTTAAACTCGAATACAGTATTTTTGTACGAACGACAACGGAATACATTACCAGTATAAATAGGTCTTGTTAAAGTTAGTCTTACAGTCTTACAGTTAAAGTTAGTGTCAGCTTATACTGGAATGTGCAACCGACGATGTGAATATGCGGATGCATTGAAGTAAGTTCTTTTAATTTAGAAATAACCAGTGTTATGCACTATTTTGTGATATTGTTTCCAACGTTACCAATACTATCGCAATTATTTTTAATATTAATTTACACATTGTATTTTCTTAAATAAATACGAAAAATAATTTCGGTTGTTTTTTATTTAAATGTTGTCTTGCGAATAACACACTCAACTATAGCTATATTTTTTTATATATGCATCTGGTGGTAAGCGACACTCCTGTCCATAATAGTTACAGTTTCAATCAGAGCTTTAAATCGTAAAGATCAGGCACTGCCACTGCGCCCGACAAGTCCCATGTTTTTGTAATTTTGCCAGCACCTTTTACCCTTCAAAACCGGAACGCAGTAATGCTCTCATCACATTACTACTTGGCAGCAGAAATAGGTAAAGTGACGGGACTTCCCCGGACGAACTCTTTCACAAGGAACTTCACTGCTACTAAGTTGTTTTTAAATAACACAAGGTTTTTCTCAGACCATAATAATACATTCGGTAAATTATTGTATTTTTTTGACGCCGTTGCAAAATTTCGTTCCATCAGTAATGCCATTGTTATTATAAATGCGTGTCGCATATTCTTGCATACTTTTGTAATGCGTAACGACACACACGAGTCCCAGAGGCTTAAATGCACTTTTACTGCACTTTCGCCGGCGAAACTGCGCTTGCGCCGCATTCGATTGTATGAAACACGCTGTCGGATTTATTGTCACTTTCCAAAGCGGAAAACAGACTGTTTATGATCATGACGTTAATAAAGATAAGTTGATAGTCCACACTGGAGAAAATTTATAATGTAACAATTTATGTAATTGCAAATTCAGTGGTCGAGCACTTTTCACATACATAAACGTAATATGTTCCAAGTACCTAGTTTATATTATTTTTGTAACTTTCATATTGTCATATAAGCACTTCTGACATGTAGTTTTGTTACACAATATTAAATTTAATAACACTACACAGTAAACTTGAACTAGAAACAATAGACTTGGGACATTCGTATAAACTTAAAAATGTCTTAAGTTCTATTGTTCCTAGATTAAGTTTAGAATTTTATGTCATACTACCATTGACTTACAATTATATGGACGTCGGGTCCGCACTTGTAAGGCGCTAAAATCGTATACAGAGCGCGACACTCCGCTTTAGTCTTCATTTGTTCTACGGACAGCGCGATACTGCGATGATATAACAATTTAAATTTCGAATAGGTTGACTTGGGACATTTTTTTCGTGGTTTTTGTATTAGACCCGTCGTCCATTTATTTGTAAGTCAATGCATACTACGCAAAAAGATTACATCAATATACGTAGTTTATGGAAGAGGGCCAACGGTATACTTGAGATGATTGCTAACCACCCTGACACGGTAATTTTCAAATCATGTCGGATTTTTGCATTTTATCTTTTTATTTTATCTTTGCTATTTCTTTCTAAGATTGAGTTGTGAAACTAACCAGCTACGGATTGATTTGTCTGAAATAAATAATTTTTGTTTATTTTAAGTGTCCTTTGGTCTGTATGTCCTGGGCAGTGTTTTAGGTTTGGACAAGAATTGTCACGTTGTAGTTGTATAAATAAACCATAAATGTAGATAAATTGATTTATAAGTAATTATAATACGGTGTAAAAAACGAAATAAGACAAAAAGAAATAAAAAGTATTACGTGTATTGTTGTCTTTTGGATTAAATATGTATTTTGTTACGATTCGCTTCTTATTGGTTTTTTTAAAGTTGGTTGAATTTTTTTTTAAAAGGTTTGTGTATTAAATACATTGTACCCTTTTTTTTGTACCCTTGGTGTAATAAAACGTGTGATCATACGTGAAAAGTGCTTTTACCACATGACAACCATAAAAATATTATGAAATAGTTGAAACAAATTACGTATAAGTTATGTGGCCATTTTTTTCTTATTATCTATTGTTTAGCGACACGCCTATCCATAATACTTGCAGTGTCATTTAGAGCTTTAAATAGCAAAGCTCTAATAGGCACTGCAACTGCGCCCGTCACCCTGAGATATAGGTTGACAAGTCCCATGTGCCTGTAATTTCACCAACACCCTTAGGGTCGTATTCCAGAACTCTACTCAATGCTCAAGACAGGACTTGAGTATGATATAAAGCACTAGATATCATATTCAAGTCCTTGCCGTTAGGGTCGTATTTCCAGTGCTTGAAGTCATACTCAAGCACTGACGTGAGCATTGAGTAGAGTTCTGGAATACGACTCTTACTCTTCTAAACCGTAGTAAGGGCGCATTTATTGGACACGAAATTCAACGCGTTCACCCCGCGCGGTCGCCACGCGGTCGAAGAGCGGAGTTCGCGTTGCCGCCGCGTAGCGATCGCGTGCGTCTAACTGTCATGGCAAAATACACTCTATTTGTTTAGCTTTTACATTTTAACTTAAATGAACGTCTCGGGCACGCGGGCGAGACTGGTTTAAATTTGGTCCACGCGGCGACCCGTGCGGTTGTATTATTCAGAGGAATTTAAACATTGTTGCCTAGTAAATATAATTCAGATTCGCCATTAATGCACATGAAGGCGTGGTAACTGGGCAGTCGCCGCGTGGCGGCCGCGCGTAAACTTTTGACTCGTGTGACTGAATGCTAATGCTGACATTACTGCTTGACGGCAGAAATAGGTAAGGTGGCAGTACTTCTCTAGACGAAATCTTTCACAAGGAGCTCTGTTGCCACTAAAATTTATACTGCAAGTTTTCTTGAAATTACTGGCCATTATGACTCCACTGAGATAATATTCAAATTATGATAGTCTTTGTTATGCTTCTAAAATATACGTGGGGCGCACTATAAGTTTCCGGAATGAATAAGAAAAAAACACTATAAATGGTCAGAAATGAATTTAGTTTCTCAAAATATTCTCCGTTAGCGTTAATGTACTTTTTCATACGAATGAACCAATTCTGAAAACATTTATGCCATTCCTCTGTGACAATCTCTGAAACATATTTTCATACTCTTCGACAGCCTCTTCAGGTAATGAAAATCGTTGACCGCGTAACTGATTCTTAATTTTTGGAAATAAATAAAAGTCACAAGGTGCCAGGGCGGGACTGTACGCGGGATGGCTCATAAGGTCAACGTTGTTCACCTTCGAAATTCATTTGTCTGTCTGGCCATGTGAGAACTGGCATTATCATGGTGCAATATGATACGACGTTTACGGTTATTTTTACGGAGGTTGTCAATAACTTACGGCAAAAAAATGGTCGTGTACCAATCACTATTCACGGTACAATGATTCTTCAAAGCAACAACAAGCCACGTGTCCTGTTTTATTAAAAAAAGAAGCAATCATCCTCTTAGAGGCACTTAGCACGCGTGCCACTTTGGTTGGTTTCGGCTCATCTCGAAAGACCCATACGCTCGACTGCTGCTTTGTTTTAGGATCGTAACTATAACTCGTCACCTGTTCCTATGTTCCACACCAAATTTGACGCCCCTTCGTTGAATCTGGTAAGCATGGCATTGCACCCAGTGACGCGATCCGTTTTTTGAACCTCAGTCAAATTGTGTGGGATCGATCGAGAACACAGCTTTTTCACACCCTAATGTTGTGTAGTATTGATTGTATTTGACTCATGCCTATGCCTAGAGATGCCCGAATCTCATGGTATGTCACATGCCTATCTGTTTTGATCATACGACGCACAGCATCGATGTTTTTGTTGTTCACAGCAGTGGACAGGCGATCATCACGGTTATTCGTCACTGACATTCACACGACCGCGTTAGAATTCTGCAAACCAGCTATAAATAGTCGTCTTGCATGGTGCTTCT